TAGTTGATGCCTATGTAATTGGAAATTTTTAGCGGGGGTTGGAGCCGAAGGATGGATGTAGGGTGGAAACGCACCGAAAGAATACACGACACAGTCTGGCTTGTCGGTCAAACGCGTGATCCCACAAACCCATTTACCACCGTCACCGAGGGCTCCCAGTCGTTGTATATCGTGAGGACAGTTGTAAGCGGCGGGGAAGAAGTCCCCTGATAGAGTCCGTCAGCAATCGGTACTCCTTCTCGGATTGAGGCTCAAGTTCAAACTCACAGACGGTGTATGCAGGCCAGGGGTCCTTGTCGGGAGGGAACCTAAGAGAAAAAAGTAAGGTCAATGACGAAAATCTCTCTGTGCACTATTGGCGGCGACTAACATGTGGATGTCCGAGGGAGTTGGCCCGAATTTCTTGATCAGACCTCTTCTGTCTTCCAAAAACTTGTCATAGATAGCTTCAGCTCGTGCTAAACGCCCCGGTAAATCTACATCGTGAGGAAAGCTCAAAGGGCGGGAATGAGGCTCGGGTGTAAGGGGATTAAGGAGGTAGAAGGTAGTTCCAAGTACGACTAGAACGAAAATAAAGTATTTTGGGTGACGAGACCAGATACCGGGCATGATGAATGTCGAAGGTGAAGAAAATTTTCTTCAAGACAGTTGAATGTTTTGAAGGAAATCTTTCAATTGCAGTCACGGTGCTGTTAATATTGTATGGTACGTGCCGCGTCACGCTGTGACCAGAGTTGCCGGCGTATCCACTTGGCGCTCGTCATACCAACATCCCCGGCGCCCCCTTTGCGGAGGTGTGATATTTAATTGATATCGCGGTTAACATTTCCATGGGGAACACTCGCTTCAGCATCTGGAGGTTGGTAGACCTCGGGGAGGGAGCGGGTCACCCTACGTTCCTCGCCGTTGACATACTCCGAACATATCACTGATGTTCAAAACGAGTACAGGAACTGATCCGTTTACAGTCCTCAACGTGAGAGACTTAAGGGGCCTCATCCCTTAAGGCGTGGAAACACTCGTTATCAAGTGACTGCCCTGAGAACCGAAATCTCCTTTGTACCTCCATGGAGGAATGCTTCAAACAAATTTGGGGATAGTTTGGAGATTTCGTTGTCAACAGCAGTCTAAGCAGAACCTCATCTACCTTCCCCGCCGATGTACGCAAGGATGGTGTCCAAGTCAACCTCATAGTACTGGTACAAACCTGAATCGTGTTTCTAATACAACATGCATCTATCTCATTACAATAACTATGTAGGGGTCCAGCATAAATCGAGAAAGGTATACTTCTAAGGTAGAAAAAAAAGATCGAAAAGTAAAAGAAAACGTTTCACATCAGACGACCGACACCCTTCATCAGCTTATTCCTCTCCTTGGCTCACAAATCCCATCAGCGCCCTTATTCCCCTGGGCCCCATCGTGTTCTTAGCAAAGCAAACATAGACAGGATCTTCAACAGCTCCCATCTTAGCCCTAAACTCCGACTTGCCATACAACTTGAACTCTGTCGCCAAGACCTGGTACAAATGTTCCAGTGATTTAACGGCGAGGTTGCGATTGCTGAATCCATGGAGCGTCTCTAGCGATGCCCGAGCGCCTGCTCCGAACGTCACTTGGCTCGAACCACTAGAGGCCGCGGCATCAAGAGCTGTCATAACCGTGTATTCGATGGCTCCGCTGTTGAGGTACGAGAAATAACGTCGGTCGGTCAGACAAACGAACTGACCAAAGGAAAAACTCACGAAGGTGCCCCAGAGAAATCCAACGCCCACTTTACCTGCCATCCATGTTGCGGTGCCAATTGTGTAAGCACAACAAGAGCATGAACTTTCACTTCCCCATTCCCTTCAACAGTATGCCCAACGAAATAAATCTTATGTTCCTTATCCCTCCAAGGAGCCAACTGCGTTAAATGTACCTGTTTCCCTTTCTCACTCCTCCCCTTCACCCACTCTTCTACCCTCTCGTCTATCTTCTTCACAAACTCATCAGGCGGTAACTCCCCTTGCTTCGTCTCAAGAACCCTAACACCCTCTTTCTTCGCATGACGTATCTTCTTTTGAACACTCACATCTTCTTTCGCACGATTATCCACCGTATCAGTCCTGTCCTCCGCAACACACGATATAGTCTTCCATCCAAAATCTCCGCCAAGTATACCCTCCACAGAAGCAGAAACCAGCATCCAGATAGGCTTCCCAACTTCCTTTCTGACCCAAGGTAAGAAGGCACTGATGACTTCCCCATACCGCTTTGGATCGCATAATGGGTCTCCAACGACGATAGCGTGCCCCTTGGAGGGTACGTATCCCACAGCGGCACCGGTGGGTAAGTGTCTCCAAACGTGGTATCGGTCGTCGGTCCAAGAGGTGTTGGAAGCGTCGCCATAGTTGGCTATGAGTTTTTCCAATGGCATCAAGATGTCGAGCTCTGCTTGGGTTTGAGGTGGGTCGATTCCAGAATCTGGAGCATCCCACGGAGGGTTCATTGTATCACATTCGGGGTGTCGAAGTGCAGGCGGTACATGCTCCGCTGCGAGCGACTTGGGGTCTCGGTGGAAGAGCGAGGCATGTCGGATGTCAGGGAGGTTGAGGAGGAGCATGACGAGTCGTTCAAGGCCAATTCCACCTCCTGCGTGTGGCGGCTGTTGAAAAAGTCAATGAGAAGTAAAAAGATGAGAAAACCAAAAGACTTACGCAACCCCATCGGAAACCTTGAATGTACTCCTTTAACGCACCAGCAACCTGAATGCCCAACTGGGCCATTCGGTCTTCCAACATCCTCGCGTCGTGAATTCTTTGACCGCCGGTAAGAATCTCCTGACCTCGCAAAAAGATGTCAAAGCTGTTCGTTAACCTGTCGTCTTTAGGGTCCGGCATCGCATAGAACGGTCTTGGTTCAGCAGGGAACTTGTCCAGAACAAAATAATCTGTTCCATACTTCTCCTTCACAAGTTTTCCCAACTGAATCTCGTCCCGCGTTCCCAAGTCCTCAAACTCGCTCGGAGGTTGACCATCCTCGTCAGTCCATCCGCTATCCTTCAGCATCTTTATTCCCTCGCTGAACGGTAGGATAACCGTCTCATCCTTCCAAACCAAGTCCTCATGCGGGTACGCCTGCTTGATGATATCGATCTCCTTCCTACACCGCTCATAAACAGTCTTGAAGATGTTCTTGAGCGTCGCATCAATCATCCTCAACGCCTCATGATAATGCTGCTCAAGCGTCATCTCCAAATCCAACCCCGTGAACTCTGTCATATGACGATGCGTATTGGAGTTCTCAGCCCGAAACACTGGTCCTACTTCATACACCCGACCCAGATCCGCAGAGATACTCATTTGCTTCCCCAACTGAGGGCTTTGTGCCAAAAACGCCTTTCTGCCGAAATATTTCACGGAGAAGACGCTACTACCGCTCTCGGTAGCACCAGCTTGAAGTTTGGGGGTATGAATCTCGATGAAACCTTGCGTGTCGAGATAAGAACGGAAAGCGCCACAAACAGCGGAATTAACGCGAAAAATGGATTGGGTTACAGGAGATCGGATATCGATGATGCGGTTTTCCATGCGGGTACGATCGCTGAGGTTGTGAGCGTCATCATGATGAGTCTTGGAAAGTTCATCGCTGTAGACTGTGAAAGGAACAGGTTGGGTAGGTTGGGAGATGAGATGGAGTGACTCGATGTGGACTTCAAGATCGTGAATAGAAGTACTTTGGACTGGTTCTTTGGGTTCTCGGACAATGCCCTTGATGAGGATGAAGGATTCGGGTTTGAGATGTTCTGCCCAACGCACAAAGGTATCTGAAATGACGCCGTCTTTTTGTGCGAGAACACCTTGTATGGTAGTGACCTGTTGTCGTAAGGCGAAAAATGTGAGTTTGGGGCTCACAGCACGAACAGTGTGAACTCGCGCTCGAAAAGCGACTGTTTTGTCGACGTGAGTGGATGTTGTTAGTTCGGCAATAGAAAACTGGACTTTGTCACGTTCGTCCCGCTCTTCCGCTTCAACGAGTGGAAGTGGCCCGTAACGAACACGTACTTCGGGGAGATCCTTCTTGTATGCTTCATCAAATTCCACCTTCCTACGATTTTCCTCTTCTAAAAGCCGCTTCTCTGTAACGCGTTTACGCTCTACTCGTTCTAATTCCTTGGAAAGACGTGAAGAGGCGGTGGACGGACGCCCATCGACGAGGGAAGATTTGGATGAATTCTTCGAGCGAGGAGGAGAAGGCGAAAGACGCTCCTTGACTTTTGTCAAAGCTGACTTGAGGCCAGAAGTCATTGCTGTGAGATGTACGGTGGTAGTGAAGGAGAAAGATACGTCCGCTCAACCGGTTTTTAGTTAAAGTCATTGTGAAGTCCCCTCATCGTCATGCGTTCTCCTAGAGTGACGTAGTGCCAACTCGACGTCATTTCCATATAAATAGCGGCGGCCTGGCCTGGATACCAGAGCTTACGCAGAACTGAGGACAAGGACAGGACGATTTTCACGAGGAGAGGCTGGCCAAAGCCTTTAAGCTTTGAGACTCCTGTTGAAATCAAGAGAGGCCTTGGAAAGTTCTGGACGCATCTAGGAGTCGGACGCGTCACCATTGTCGGTTCACGTGGCCACGAGTTTTTTTCTCGGGACCCGGACCAAGAATAACTCTGAGAGTCTCAGAGCCTGTACCGCGATCGACATTGCCCCGCTCGTCTCTGCTCCGGGGGCCGAGTCAATGCGAACTGTTTGCCGTTGTGTCAGTAACGTCAATTTTCTAGCAGACCTACAGTTACGAACAACCTACCTACCGCACACTCAAAAAAGTTCGTTGCCAGTGAAACGAGACGAGGTAACATTAGGCTCGTAGAAACTCGATGGGGATACTTGCGTGCAGAGGCCTTGGCCGCCAGTGAACCTGTTTGTTTACCTATTCCATTCACCTATACAGTACGGTGTGTATAAATAAGGTAACAACAGTAAGGTAGAAAAAAAAAAGCTATATATTCAATAAAATACACCGTTCGGGAATCGAACCCGAGCCGCTTGCTATTACTGATAGACAAATATGGAAGGCAAGCATGATAACCACTTCACCAACGGTGTATAACTAATTTAGAGTAAAGGTTGTAATATTATCACAAATGCCCTGTGATAGATCACGAAAGGTTTGAAATGTTGCATAGAACACTAGTAGGGATAAAGATACAAGCGAATGGTTCATACTCAAGCAACTACACGAATTTCCTGCGATAAGACGGAAAAAAAGAGAGAAAAGTGTAAACATCTTGAACAAAAGGATAACCCCACAAACAAAGCAAGAAAAAAAAAAACGCACCTGCTTACAGAGGTAGACCAGCCTCCACTCTCACAATCGAATCCGAAAAACCAACAATCCCAACCGGAGGTTTCTGAACACCACCATTCGAACCCGTTGTTCCCGTTGCCTGCGTTTGCTGCTGGCCCCCCGTGGGCGTACCAATCCCAACTGGATTCCCATTCGAACTTGTTGAAGTGGGAGCCTGAACAACACCATTCCCATTCGCACTCGTACTAGCGGGCGAAATCCCAACAGCTGAACTAGAACCATTACCTCCACCAGCTCCCTTTTCGGGAGAACCTTCAATGCCGCTCCCACTTCCACTACCACCACCACCACCGTTTCCAACGGTAGCACCAGGATTACTCACAACATCGTTCGGTTTCGATTTCTTACGAGTACCACCTACGGCTCCTCCAATGACAACACCGATCACAACGAGAACGGCAACGATGATCACGGCCACTCCTTTCTTGGTTCGAAAGAACGGGACCGGACGAGGAGTTGGAGTTGGTGATGCTCCGGATCCTCCAACTGCTGCTAGTCGTTCCTTTGAAGCTCCTGTACTCAGTCCGCTTTCCAAATCTCGATTTTCAAGTGCAGTCCTGTTTACTGGCGATGGCGCTTTCAGGATTGCGGGGTCGTAGCCTTCCTGTGAGGGGCGGAAAAAAATGGTGTTGGCGAGGGAAAAGTTATGGGGAACAAAAGACAGATTAGAAGGCGTACCTGCCGCATCTGCTTCGTAGACGTGGGAGCCTCAGCCAGCAGGCTCTGGTCATACTGTCCACCATGCCCATGATTACTCGTAGAAGTTCTTATTCCTTCGCCTTGGAGAAGTGCGCCTGTGCCCATACTGTAACCGCGTGAGAGGGGAAGAGGGGAATAGGATGGGCGGTGAAAGGGAGAGTAAAGTTCAAGGGCGGGGAGGAGTTTTACTTCAAGGTTGGCGCTGTAACTGTCATATGCATGTCAAACGAGACAGGAAATAAATGATTCAGCTGGGCTGGTGGCTAAATTTGCACCGCATTTGTACCGTAGAGGAAGAATGCTGTCCTGAGTCCTGGGAGAGAGATAATTATCGAGGGTGCATTGTCGTGGTTGCAGAAAGGAGTGCAAGTAAGTAGTCCAAAGGTATCGTAACGTTGTTTACTTGTTTACTTGGTAAGTGGGTCATTACATACAAGGCTTTCCAATTTTCCAAGTTACAAGTACATCCTTTATAAATCTTACCCAAACCCATAAATAAATAATTCAACGACCGTGAGTGCTGTGTCCCCGAGACTTATAATCAGGTGGTGGCCCCTCAACAAAGTTACGCCTCGGTGAATCACTTCCTTTCCCAACGTTCCCAGCGCCGCCCCCATCCCTTCTTTGACTTCCCTGTTTAACCGCATTACCCAAATCCTGACTCTTATTTTGTCCACGAAGCAGTACAGCTGCAACCTCCTTGGCCAACGCGTTGATATCTTCGGATCGTGGTTCCGGCTCGAACAAGTCTGTCTCATCAACATTCACACCAGGTGCAGAATAAGGATGTTGATGAAGACGTTCCGAAGAAAGAACAGATCGAATGACCCCCAACAAATTTCCCTGACTGCTCTGATTTCGTACATGAAGAGGAGCCTGCGCTCTTGCATTCGACGACCCGGACGAGGGATCAGTGTCGTTTCTGTAGCCACCGGCATACCCGATGGAAGGCAAAACGTCCTCTGCTCGGAGCGGATAAAACTGAGTCTGATTACCCTGTGGCTGTCCCACTTTTCCCGTGAACGATTCGGCGATCCCCGATGACGGAGGCAGAGGGGAGGCTGCAGTTGGCAAAAGATGACTTTCGACGGTGTTATGGCCTTGCTGGCTGGAACGACGTGGGCGTCGACGAAGGACAATGACAACCGCGATAATAGTAGCGAAGAGTGCTACGAGCCCTGCTACGGTTCCTCCGACAATCGCTGGTGTGCGATTCGCAGATTCTTCCGGGATGCTGGTAGACGAACTGGTCGACGGGATCTTTGGGGCGGTCGGGGGGCTCGTAACTTCCGAGGTTGAATTAGTAGTTGGGATCGCACCACCAGTACCTGCGTTGATAACAGATGGACTTGCGGTAGCAGCCGCGCCTACACCCGAGAGGGCTACAGATACCGACTCAATAAATGGAAGCACGACTCAGGTTTGTGGAGGTTCGCATTACAACCAAAGCTTACCATAGGCGGTCCACTGAACGCTTTTGCTGAAGCTTTGAAGTCGTCTACCTGTGGTTCACCCAGCGGGTTGATCGCCCTGTTACACTGCATCAGACAGAAGGGGGGGTCGATCTCGGTTTGAAGCTCACCCAACCATTCCAGTGGTGCAATGTAAGACTGGAATTAAAATGGGACAGTAGAACCATATCGCTGTCCAGTGCAAGGTATCGAGATTGGGGTGAGCTGACGCTTCAGAGAACAAACACTTCTTGGAGTGACTCACTCGAAGTATTAGTGATTTGTAAATCCCACTCGAAAACTGAACCGTTAAGAGCCGGAACGGCTCCACTGCTGAATCCGCCTGGAAGGGGCTGGCAAGGTGTCTCAAACGATGTCTGAACGACACCATGAACTCTGCCACGCGTAGATGAGTACGAAGAGGTAGTTGAGGGCGATGAAGTAGGAACTCACGCATCGAAAAACTTGAATTGAACAGTATCTCCCACTCGGGCATTAACTGAGTCCGGAATGAAGAAGCTGCCACTGCGGCCGACCTCAATGGTGAATACCGTCTGGCGTAGTCTGTCAGCGATATACGCAAGCGAAAATAGGGTAGGTGGTTACCCCGAATTGAGCGACTCCAGGACGGAATAACGCAAAGACTAGGGGCAAGAGTGTGATCATAGCTGGAATTAGGGGATCATGAAAGTGAAGACGAATTGGCGTTCTGAATGCATATAAGTGGGAATTTGTGAAGCATCACGAGCATGCTGAAAGGGGAGAATAAGGTGCAAGACGTTCCATCATTTGAGTATGAGATCAATCAGTTGGAAATGAACCAAGGGTGAGAATATGGACAACTTTTCAGGTAAAATGAGACATATGGGTGCTAAACGCAGAATTCCTGGGGCACAGGATAGCTGTGGAGTCGAAGATGGGTTTGAAAAAAAATGGGAAGATGTAGTCTGAGAATCACTGCCACGAATAGCCAAAGCAACGTCCGTTCACCATTGGAGTACCGCTTTCAAGAATTATGTAAGATCGTGTCCTAGAGGAGTAATCAGTAGATTTCACGCCCAGAGTACAGGCCACACACACCGGCATCCAAATGATGAATGATCCTCCGTTCTTTCTGCCTATGGGTTTACAGACCTTTTGGGTTTGAAAACATCAGTAAGCTCACGTTCTAGGACGGTTTCTGTGTAAGAGCCGTACATCGCCCCAGTGGAATGAATCAATGTCGAGCGCATCTACCTAGATGATCAGCAGTATCATCAGTCGAGCATTTGGTAGAGTCACTGTCCGACTGTTGGAAATTGACCGACCCCGACCATGACATTGGCGGATCTGTGTGGATCTGCAGAGGCGTGGCATAATTTTTTTTGGTAGATCTGACAGAGACAGAATGAAATATGAAGGATAAGATAGGCTCCTTGCTCTTCCCTCTGAAGGGGAGTATATAGTTAGAAAAAAGATGAAAGATGATCAGGGATGTTTGGTATGATAGAATCTTGGTTTTTGCCGTATCAGAGTTTTGTTGGTTTTGCCGGAGGCTGGGCGTTTGAGGCACGTGAGATGCACGTGATAAGATGCGATCGGGGAAGAAAAAACCCCCAAAAGTGTGTTAGGGCCAAACCTGAGGCCTGAGCGCTCGGGAGCCAAAAAGTCCGGGAACTTGGGGGGGTGGGGCGCTTGGGGTAAAACCTCAGTGAAAGTCCCGGGTGTTAAGTTTTAACGTTCAAATTCAAATCCCACTCACCGATATTGTGACGACGAGAGGCCAGGATCTATCGACCCTAAGAATAAGAATAATCGAAGATGTGACTCGACAACCTGCTCAATTTTACTTGCCATTGTGTTAGACAGATTTTTACGGTCGTGACAACAGCTTTGGAACTTAATCAGGTCGGATGCAGTGTGTATCGAGTCGGAGCTCCGCCATTTATTACTGATTAGTTGCTACTGTTCAGTCTGATTCATCGGTGTAATAATGGTCAGGATTACTCTCTTAAAAAAAGCTCCTCGTTCAGGATTAGACCTCGAGCCCCCTTGCGGCCTCACTACACCAGTCTCTGGGCTTTAAAAGCCATTAATTAAGCTTCTCCGTCGAGTACTACACGAGCTTGTGATCGTCTGCTGCTCATATTCTGAATTCGACCTTGCCGTGCACTGGTCGCCGTGTCTGAGTCATCCTTATCCGTGGGGGCTATCGAAACGTTGTGCATGGCCTTCGGACGTTATTGAGAAGCTTATAGTTTTCAATTTTACTTACAATACATTACGATCCATCCATCTGCAGGCTGCCCCACCGTTTATGTAACAATGGGTGAAGGGCGTGGAAAGAGCACGAACAGAGAGATAGATTGAGCCGAATGAGATTCTATCGGGAGGTCAGCGCCTATGGAGAGCGCAAAAGTGTGATTACGAGGACACAATGAGGCGATGCAAAACAGGAGCGTTTGTGGGGAGAATGCCTTGTGTGTGCATCCATCCCTGGGAGCTGGTGGGTATCCGAGGGGTATGATATACAACTCATCGTCCCAATTAGAAGTGTTGGTTTGCATCCTAGGATTATGCCGACGCGCATCCAGCCTGGTAAACTAGTA